CTTTTAGGTGTAAAATCAGCAATGTCTTTTAAAAATCGCCGTGATAAGTTAATAATTTCAACAATTCGAATACAATCTTATCAGTCGTATCCAACATGCAGAATAGACGGTAGAATGACGGTTATACTAGTGGCGTATTTCTCTTAGAGAAAAGTACAAGTCGTTGTTGTTTCCACTTTCTGGAAAAAGTCCCTTCTTTCAGGCATGTGTTCTAGACGTCTGGGATTATTGACGGTGCTGCCCAATGATGGTTTTTAAAACTATGTTAGGGATTCCATCAAATCCTGGAGCCCTCTGATTTCCTACACTGTTACAAGCCACCATTTACTCTTTTTCAGTGTCTGATGGAATGTCATCTAGTTTGCTTGATGAAAACTTATTACTGTAAGTGCGTTGCTGTGGAAACAGCGTAGTTACGCCTTTGTGAAAAAATTGAGGACATGTAAATATCTGCACCTTATAAGGCCAACCGCACACGTCTTTGTCCACCTCACATAAGAGCTCTTTCCAGCATCTATCGTTGGCCTTATTCAATGCACTTTCTTGTACTGTGCGATCAGTTCCTCAAAGTTAGGTCGTTGATAGCCACGCCGAGATTTTTTTCTTTTTTTGTGGCACTTTTTAGGACTACCTGTATACCGAGGGTCTTAAATTTATCCCACCTTTACGAAGCATACTGGCGTTACAGAGTTCGTCGAATCCTTGGTACTTCTTCTTGCGCATCCAGTGATCATCGGGTTACTGTCAAGGGCTATTATCAATGCATCTCGATCAAGAGATTTTGTCTTTCAGCCAATGCAGTTAGCTTACTTTATAGATCTTCTTTTTTATAGATCAATGTTCTGTTCCAACGATATTTTTCAGAGTATCGCATTATGGTCGTTGGCCGTGTTGTTATTCACCAACCTCCAGTTAGAGTTACCACTGACGAGGCTATGATCGAACTTGCGTCGTCTCTAGTGTAGGTCGGCGTATCACCATTATTGCTAAAAGCTTACAGTAGTGTTTTGTGTACTTACATCATCAATTTACCGCCCAGGAGTTAAAGTCCCCGCCTATCGCCACTGGATAATGTTGCTTTGCATCTTCGAAAAGCAGTAAATATCACAAGGGAGAGGCTAGGTGGTGCATAGCAGCTGTAGAAGCATTATGGGCAGCAACCTCTACGCTTCGAAGTTCGGCGCATAGTGCACATTTTGCTTGATTTGGACAGCTAGCGATTTTTGGCCCTCCTTGGCCGCACCCAATGCAAAGCTTTGAGTGGTTCGCTTTACTTTTACATTGCCCGTGATGCCCAAAAAACAACATTGAAAGCGCTGAAATGGCTTATTAAATGTTCTTATACGGCAATTCACCCATCCAATCCGAATTTTGCTAACTCCATCCAACAATTTCTACACCATAGCCGCTGTAGGCTTTATGCATCTTGATTGCCTTCGTTGATATTTCACAGGCTTGTTCACTTACTTTTTTTAGAGCAGTTTGAATGTCGGCCTTAGTTGTTTTGTCGTCAATGTCTCTAATTTCGATTGCAATCTTTGGCCTTTGTCTGCGCCGTCGACCGAGCTTGCTCGTCCGGGACGTACTGCTTCATTCGACGAAGAACCTCGCCATACTTTGCCTTCTCCGCTAACCAAATTAAATGTACGTCCGGTTTGAAAAATTTCCGCGTTTTCTTCCTATTGGGCTACGGCCGGCGCTCTTTTGGCTGCTGCTTTGCGATCTGCTCTTTAGTTATCCTTCTCTTTTCTTTTTTTGATTGGATGTTATGCCAGGCAATTGAATTCCTTCTGCTTGGTATTCTGTTCTGTCATAATATTCGGGGGACTTAGTTTTAAGCCCTCTTTCTTCATCACCTGACCGTATGTGGGGTCTGAGGAAATCCAGTCCTTATAAATCTCGTAAACCTAACGCTGTCAATTATATCATTACTTTTTAATAAATCTTCTGCAGATATTGTAAATCTCTTTCCTAGCATTATCAATCCTGTTTTAACTAAATTATGTTGATCTCCAACATGTTTGTTCTTGTTATGAATGAGTGGCAAACTCACTTCATATTTTTCATTGTTATGTAAATGAATAATTTTTATAAAAAGGTCTTTGCAAGTTCTGTCTGAGCCCTGCAGTGTAGATATTTTTCTCGATTCTTTCAAGTCGCCAAAACTTGTTAGTTTCTTCATATAATTGTTCTTTCACAATGTATCCTACATACTTTTGTTGTGCACTATCTAATACTGCTCTTGCTTCACGAAGCTCCCCTTGTGTGTTTAATTTTGATCATTGCAGTTGCTAACAAAATGTCGATAGAATTCGACCATTGAGAAAATAGTACCTTTTGTGTAGCTTCACTGCCTCTCACTGTTTCCTCCGGGGTGGAATCTCCGTTATTTACATGCATCATTGTGTGGTGTTCCTTCTGACATATACTGCAATTCTGACTAAATTTACATACATCTGGTAAATGAGGACCTGAACCTTTCTCGCAATGGAGAATAAGTCTTAAGATTTTCTGTCGTTTTATTATTGGTAGATTCTTGAATTTGAAGCAATTAAATACATGATCAAATGACCGTCGAATATACAATATATATATATATATATATATATATATATATATATATATATATATATACTGTTTGTAATATTTATCCTGAAAAACAATATTTTTAATCAATCAAAAGATTTTATTTTTGCCCCAGTATGTTCTACCTTGCCAGTCTTGGTTGCTTTTCCCAAAGTACACGATCTGCTTTCATGGAATTTATAAAATTGTTTTAACGTAGGAAGCTGTCCTTCTTTCTGTAATAAACTACAAGTTAGACAAGTATAGTGGTCTAATTTTTTTTGAAAGCTTAAATACTAAAATTATATCTCAACAAACTGCATCATGATGGATTGTTGCTAGTGACTGCGTTTGTTGCCTTGTTTGGTTCGAAAATAATTGTAGATTCTCATGTGATCCTCTTAGTATAGGTCGTTTATTGATTGTAGAAGTTCCGTAATTATCAGAAATTTATTATTATATCTATTTTGCAGTAAATCATAAGCCGTATTATAATTATAATTTGTCATGGAAATAATTGCTATTAAATTAGATGCTGATGATTCTAATGTTCCTTTCAAATAATACACGTTTTGAATATCTGATAATTGCTCATTGTTGTGTATAAGTGAGTAATAGATATATATGAATAATTTCCACTAAACATTGATAGATTTATACCTGAATGTTTGATGTTAACTTGTCTGTGTTTTATACCTATACTTAGGGACCGATTCTGCCGCAATGTTATGATAAGTTCATGTTATGAAGAATTTTCCATGTCAAAAAAACGATGTTAGATAAGTGTGTGTTTCTGATTCCTCTTAGGTAAGATACGAGTGACGTTGCAGTTTATGTTTAAAACGCCGGAATGAACAGCAAATACATGATATTTTGACAGCATTCAGTATGATTCATTCGCATAATGTATGGGGAGTCGGAGCGTAACATAGCCATCCGTAACATTTCTCTGTTATGCGTAGAATCGGTCCATTAGTTTACTTTCAAAAATACTATTTTCTAAAATGTCTTCGATTTGAGCTGATAGTTGAAAATGTATATTCAATAATTTCTCATACTCTTTTGAGCATGTTCCTGGACATAGAACATATAACTCTACGGAATAAGGAATATAAATTCTTACCCTGATTTATTAAATAACCACAGTGACAAAGTATATCATATTTAAACTAAACCTTTTGAAAAAATTTTAATTAAGCAATTTTGAAATGGTTTTAGACTAAATGTGGACTTACGTGTGATTTTCATTTGTGATCTCTGGTTGTAGTAATTTCAATTCGAGTGAACTCGACAACGCTTCCACGCATTAATGGCGGCTTCTCAGGTTCGCGGGTTTTTCATTCACGTAGAGCTTTTTTGGCTTTATAGAAATATTCACTATCATAATGTATATATAAAGACATTTTTTATAAATCTAAAATAAACTAGCCCCACTAGTTTCAAGCATCGTCTTATTGCAAATTGGTGGAACTTCCAGTACCAAAAATTTTTTTTTTTAAACATATTATCATTTTTGAAAAAAAATCACTTTGAAAAAATTCGATTTTTGAAAAACTATAAATTTTTGAAAAATAATTATTTTTTTGAAAAAAAAAACTTTTTTTTAAAAAAAATGTTTTCTTTATTTTGAACTATTTTGGAAGTTCTTAACTTTTTTTTCAAAGCAATCGTACTGCTTTAACAGCATAAACACAAAATATCGAAGCGCGTACGCGCCGCGTTACCGTCGAACAGATAAAACATTGGTACGGAACCCAAAGAAATGTAAATAAATTTGATACACAAAAAATGAACTGATTGTTCATCTTGTTAATACCAGTAAAATGTTTTTGAATTTTTAAAATCGGACTCTCCGTTCTCTTAAAAACTGAGTTACCGTTTGTGGCACTTCTTGACTCTTATCTTCGAAACGGCTAGACCTGCCTATGCCAAAAATTAATCAGCATGTCTCTTCATCAACAGCAATCTAATGTTTTTCAAATTATTCAAATCGATGGATCCGTGTTCCCGAAATCGTCGACGAATATTTGTATCCGCACACACACAAGCGCGCACACGCGTACATCCATTTTTTTTAAGGTATGCCAAAATATTCAGAAACCTCTGAAACGTAAAGATATATAAAAATTTTGCGATATTTATATTTTCAGACAGAAGAAGTTGTCACATTGATAAGAGGGAACACTCTATGCCATGTGTACAGTGCGCTGCTAAAATATAAACTTCAATTTTTATAATTAAACCGCTTTTCACAAGCCTGTAATAATTGACCACAGTCAGTTTGAGCACAAAATCTACCTTTACGCCAACTTTAATCAAAATCAGACACGAGCTATGCGCGGGTTCTCCTTGTAAGGCACAATGCCAGGCGCCACTAGTTTATAAAAATGTTCAAATGAATGCGTTTATTTCTTGATCGTTTATTTATTTTTCAGATTGGCGAAATACTGCGGTTCCCGTGCTGATTCAGTTACATCAGATAAAAATGTACTTAATGTACGTTTTGTTGCGGAAGCAGCTGCTGCAAAATCAAACTTTATAGCGTTATTCACGGCGTTTCGTGATAAACCAGCGCAAGGCAAGTACTGCTATTTTTATATTTTTTATAGCCTCTAATACGAAGATATCCGCATACAACTATATACATATCAAATTTATATATTACTAGCTGATCCGGCAAACGTTGTTTTGCTAAATAAGGTATTTCTAAACAATTTCTGGAGAATAAACACAATTAGTACTTTATTTTAAGTGTGTAAAGATGCATAGTTAGTACAATTAAACAATATAAAAAATACAGGGTGCGCCATTTAGACCTGCGGTATTTCAAAGTTGAATAACTCTGTCGGTAATTATCAGATTTTGACAAATGAGCATGATTCTGAAACGTCATTTAGTGCCATTTTAGACATGAGTCAATACACACCGAAATAACGCGCTGAAATCGTAACGCTTTACATTTCGAAGCTCATTTCACCCTCTCCGGCGGAGTCAATAAACAAAACTGTCGGATTTGGGGAACAGAAAACCCACACATGATTCATGAATCACCACTGCACGACCAAAAAATTACTGTTTGGGCTGGAGTGTGCTCCAAAACCATCATCGGACCATTTTTTTTTCAAATTTGGAGAAACCATCGACGGCGCACGTTATCATTGGATGTTGGCGCACTTTGTGTGTCCGCAAATGCGTGAAAAAGGCACCACTAACTTATATTTGCAACAAGACAGCGCCTTGCCACACCGCAGTTGCTACGATGCATTTTTTGCAGCGCAAGTTCCCGGGACACGTTGTGTCGAAAAATGGTGATTTGGAGTGGCCGCCTCGTTCTCCAGATTTAACCGTACCTGACTTTTTTCTTTGGGGTTATTTAAAAAGCAAAGTTTATGCCAGCAAGCCGAAGAAAATCGACGAATTAAAAGGTAACATACAGGCCGAAATAGCTGCTATAACGCCTGAAATGCTGGCCAATGTTATGCAGAATGCGCAAAAAAGAGCTGCTTTTTGTGTATCAAATGAAGGTGGTCATTTAATCGACGTTGTATTCTAAACCTGGTTTGAAATAAATGGCATGAAATATCCTAAATAAATCTTGTTCATTTGTCAAAATCTGATAAATACCGACAGAGTTATTCAACTTTGAAATACCGCAGGTCTAAAGGGCGCACCTTCTAAGTCAATTTATAATATACATTAACATTATTCGTTTTTCCATATTTTGTTAACAAAATCTAACTGGAAGTTTTACAAACTTTCTTTTGGAAACATGGTACATATAATACAATTCAAGCTTTTTTGTTTTTTCGACTTATACTGTACAAACTCATACTCAAACTCTAATTAATCGAATACTGACTACGTTTCAAGATTTTCAGATACTTTTTGAATTCGGGATTTTGTGTATAAATATTAATAATACTACTGAGCTTACATAAAAGTTTCAAATTTTAGCATGGAGAAGTAGAAAATGAAATAGGTATTTTTTCTTTGATTTGTTTTTTAAAAAGTTTTATGTGACATTCCATGAATATAAATAAAATTAATAAAAAATATATATGTAGGGTAGGGTGGGGCACAAAGGTTCAATTTGACTTTGAACAAATATAAATTATATTGTAAAAACCAAAACATTTTTATCACAACGAATAACACATATCAAACGAACAATTATCTACTTCATCATTGTAGAAATTTACCTCATAGGGGAGGTTACTTGGGACGGCCGGGTGGCAAACAAATCTTATTATAAGTTTAAAGGCATTTTGCAAAATAATAACTACATTATTCAACTAATACAAAATATAAGTAACCTTGATTTGGCATTTTGTCAGAAATATTTATCAGCAGAGGTCGAATAATTATTTATATAATGCATCTTATGTAAACTTGCTTTATTTAACTTAATTTACTTCTCTATTTGCTATTTTATATTTTTTACTCCTAGCAAGGGGTAATATTCAGATGGTCAAAAGCATTCAAAATTAAAAAAATATCAATAATGTCAATGCAAGAAATTACAAGTTTCTGGAATGAAATACTTTGAGAATTGCGTATTAAGCTTGCATTCTATTAAATGTATCAACAGTTCCAGTATTAAAACGAGAATAGCAGAAAAATTATTTACTATAATTCTTTAAAAAAAAAAAACAAATGTCCTAGAATTTTGAATGAATTTCTTCAAAACGATATGTCAAAATGTACGCATTTCAGACACAGTCAGACATCGATCATATTTCTAAATTAGATAAAAAACTTTAGCTGTTGAAGTTTGTAATGAATTAAACCAATTGATAATGCAATGTAAAATAGAATTTGCTCAAGGTTGGTTTCCACTAATTATGTAGAATAAATTGGCAAGATTTTCTATGAATTTATCGAAGAATGGACAATTATATTTGAGGTCCGAGGTTAAAAAGGTTCACCACCAATATTTCAAAAACCAGTAAAGATAAGAATTGTTCCATAACAATATTTGAAATTTATTTAAATGTTTTTTAAAAGTAATTTTAATTTTAATTGAGAATTGACAGTTTTATATATAACCAATTTAAAAGCTTACACCTGGATGGTATAAAAAGGACCAACTGAACATTACCCCTTGCCAGGAGTGAGAAATAAAAAATAGCAAACAGAAAAGTAAATTAAGTTAAATAAAGTAATTTTACAAAATATACATTATATAAATAGTTATTCGATCTCTGGTGATAAATATTTCTGACAAAATGCCTGATCAAGGTTACTTATATTTTGCATTAGTTGAATAATGTAGTTATTATTTTGCAAAATACCTTTAAACTTATAATAAGATATGTTTGCCACCAGGCCGACCCAAGTGACCTCACCTATGAGATAAATGGGACTATATGACAAATTTTTGGAAAAATGCAAAAATACACATACAATGATGAAGTAGATAATTGTTCGTTTGATATGTGTTATTTGTTGTGATAAAATTGTTCTGGTTTTTACAATATAATTTATATTTGCTCAAAGTCAAATTGAATCTTTGTGCCCCACTCTACCCTACATATATAATTAACTTACCGTAGGGTAAGTTATTGTAATCGTCCAAAAATCGAAAATGAAAATTTTCACATTGTTCGACGTTTTAAAGGTTTTTGAACATTTTGCCATACCTCAGAAAAAATGGATGTGTGTGTATGTATGCATGGATACAATATTCCAGTCACGTTTTCGGGCGCACGGATCAACCGATTTGAATGTTTCAAAAAACATTCAATTTGTAATGACGGAGAGAAGTGGTGATTAGTTTTTGGCAGAGGCAGGTCCAGCCATTTCGGAGATACGGAGCAAAGAGTGCAGAAAATAGAAATCGAGTTTTTGAGAGAACGGAGTATACAATTTGAATGATCTAAAAAACATTCAATTAGTAATGATTGACAAAAGTGGTTATTAGTTTTTGGCAAAAGTAGGCCCCGCCCTTTCGAAGATACAGAGCTAAATGTCAAAAAAATTACAGTTTTTGAGAGAACTAAGCGTCCGATTTGAATGATTCAAAGAACTTTCTGCTTGTTTTAACTAAATAATTGATTTTGGAAAAAAATTGTTTCAAAATATTTTTTTTTTAATTTTTTTCTGTCATAATTTTTTTTTTGTATATCGAAAAAAATCAGATTTTATTTTTAATTCTGACTAAAGTTCTAATATACTTTAAACAAATAATTTTAACTTTGTAATCTTCTTCTTTTATATATATATAAAATAAGTCGGGTTTTCCTTCCTGACGAAATAACTCCAGAACGCACGAACCGATTTCGACAATTTTGCATTCGTTGGAAAGGTCTCGGGCTCCGCAAGGTTTATAGCTAAGAAAATTAAAGAAAAAAACAGAAAAGCGGAAAACATTTCTTCTTTTTTTACATACGGCGTTATTTCTGATACTTAGCATGTACTACAAACCAAACCGCCGCCGGTAGATGGCGCCGGTTTATACACTGTTTGACATCTCAATGTTCACAGCTCAGTTAAATTTATGTGACAAACCGGCATTGTGCTTACTGTGAAATTGTGAAAATTTTGTCTTTAAGGTGGTAAGTTAAACTGTGTAAATTATGTGGATCGTACATTTGAGGTTAAATTCACCACTCTGTCCATAATCTAAAATGCGTACAGGACGACGTGCAAACATCGGCCACCGCACAAGCCACGCAAGCCAGCAGCAAGTGTATTCACTAAACTTAAGCGAAGGCAGACAAAATATAATAAGACAAAATGCCCGGTTGAGACAACGCATTAGTACACGTAGATTATTGGCATCATACAATCGCTTGGCATTCGAATATGATATCACTGCGAACTATAGAGATGATAAAAATTTTGATATTGGACCAATGACGACCACATGCCAATATTGCAATGCGTTAAAGTTCAAAAGAAGAACGGCTGGATTGTACTGCGCAAGCGTAAAAGTAAAACTGGATCCATTACTTGCACCACCACCGCCACTGAAATCATTGTTCGATGAAAGTGACCCCGATTCCAGCAATTTTCTTCAACACATCCTTCAATATAATAACTGCTTTTGCATGACTTCATTTGGAGCTAATATCATTCAAGAAGGCGGCTTTATGTCGACTTGCAAGGTAGAAGATACAACGCACATAACCAATCACTCACACCAACACAATGAATTGCACACGACACACTACACCATCACATGATCAGAAGTTACACCGTATTCTTCAACTAATGATTGTTTGCAATTACAGATACAAGGACAAATATACCATTTGCATGGTTCAATGGTGCCAACACCAGATGAACAGCATCAATTTCTGCGAATATATTTAATTTCGTCGATGGTGGATCAGCTGAATGTGCGGTGCAATATGCAGGAAGAGTTAAAGAGACGAGTTATTAAACAGTTTGAACAATTTTTTCGCGCTAATAATGCTGTTATCATGTTCAAAACAGCATTGGAATGACTGCCATCAGATACGCACAAATTTGTCATAAGAGCGGATTGTATTCTAAGAGATAAACATGTGCGAAGATTCAATGCATCCACTGTTAATGATGTTGCTGCAATTATTGTTGGCGATCCAATTAAATTGT